CTCAATATCCAAAGAGAACTATAACATTTTGTGCTTCACCTGGGACAAAATGTACATTTGTGCTTCACGTGGGACAAAATGTACAATTTGTGCTTCACCTGGGAAAACCCAACACAGGAATATTTTTTGGACCCTGTCCATAGAGGGCGGGGCACAGTGTATATGCCAAAGAGAGGGCATGCACAGATTCAATCACTCTCTCCCGGCTTTCTGTTCGGTTAGTCGCCTGAGTACTTCCACATAGTTAACAGCTTGTTTGAGGAACCTACCCACCAACCTGAATTAAAATTGGAAAATTGAAATGGCACCCTGAATTTATCTACATGAAAAAACTCACGTCCAAGGATTGAACAAGAATCCGATCAATTAGATGTTCATGTTTAAAACTGAAAATCAACCTTCTTTTTTTTTTCCCCGAAAATAATGGTTAATGATTCTAGACTATATCCCAGAATTTTCTTAAAAGGAAAAAAATAACAAAAGCACATTTGGTTCGCGTGAAACATTTCATAGCAAAATAATTTTTTTTTACGGTCAAGTGTGAGAATATTTTCATATCAATTAGTCTTATTGCATCTTTTCATACCAATTGGTAATTAATTGATGTAAAAATATTTTCACACTTGACTACATGAAAAAAAAATTTTCACATGAAAATATTTTTTAAAAACATTTTCACGTGAACCAAACGTGAAAGTCTTTTCTCTAAAGGGTATGTGTACAATTCACACTCTCGGGGCCAAAGTACATGTGTCCAAACCTTCGAAAAAAAAAAAGCAAAAAATAAGTATTGGTACCTACATATAAAAAGACTGGGAGCTCCACCAAACCCCCCCACTTCTTCACAATCTAACACAACAGAGTCTTGAGATTCTTAACACAGGATATAATGGCTTCGGTTTTCACTAATCTTCGCACCTTCTTCCATTCTTTTTCAGCTGTTCTCATCCATGCGTGGTGCCATTTTTTCTTCTACTCCACAAGAACAGGTATTGACAAAATTCAATCTTGTTCTCTCTCTCTCTCTTTCTCTCTCTCTCTTCAATCTCTTCTCTCCCTCTTTTTGCAGGAGGATGAGTCCACTACACAACCAGATTCCACCAATTCGAGCCCCAAAACCAAAGGATTCAGAAGCCATGATGCATTTCCTGATGATGATCTGACAACCCAGATTTTAGCCACCACATCTAACCCCTCAGCTAAGTGCAAGCCTCCGAACTGCGCCGACAACCACCACAATTTTGGGTCAGACTCCGTCAAATCGTCCCCAGAATCTGGACCATTTTCTCCTGAATCTACCAACCAAATGCGTGCTCCGGTAGACATAAAGCCCACATACAAAGCTATAGCCCCCTTGGCCGTAGCCATGGCACCATCCACCTTTGCCTTGGCCATGAGACTTCCACTTAAATCTAACCAGATATATGTCTTAGCTGCACTACTGAATATTTACCTGGTCATTTTTATGATATCAGTGGAGCTTGTTGTTCTTATAGTCTTCATCCCCCATTCCGTTACAGGCATGGTGGTCATGAAGGGCCTCCTAGGTCTTGGAATAGGCCTTTTTGCCGTGGCTTTCCCACTTCAAGTGCTGCTTTCTCTGCCGCATAACATATCCTGGCTCGTCGGCCTGCTTTGTGGGGTAGCTGTTTTCATGGCTGCCTTCTTATTCTATCTCACTATGAAGGTCCAAGGAGCTGCCAAAGAAGAGAGAGAGAATATAGAGGTATGAGAGAGAGAGAGTTAGTGTGTGGGAGAGGGTGTTTCCAGCATTAAGTTTTATGTGAGTGCAGTGTGAAGACACTTGATAGACTTTATCATCTGTGTTCTTCATCTATGTGTTCTATATGCTGGAGAGAGAGAGAGAAAGAGAGAGAGGGGGCGAGAGAGTGAGAGAGGTGTTTCCAGCTTTTAAGTGCTGTTTGAGTGCAGTGTGAAGACTCTTGATAGACTTTATCATCCATGTTTTACATCTATGTTTTCTATATGCTGGAGTGCTTAGAATAAGTTGGACTGTTGGTTTGAGCACAGTGAAATCTATGATTTCCTGGCTTCCATGTGTGTTACTTTATGTGTGTTGAAATCTATGAATTCTTAGGTATATTGTCGAACTATGCAAATCTTTGTGTTTTGCTTCTTTTTAATTTCTGCATTATTTTTCTCTCTTTTAATATTTTTCTCTTATCCTCTTCATATCTTCTTATGTTTGTAGTCTGTTACAGCAAAAGAGCAATAATTTCAATATTCTTAAATGGAATTAAGGCTCATATCAAGAGATAAGCTCTCTGCACCCCCAACAAATACTTGGACATTGATATAAGATTAAAGCCACCGATTAAATGCTACCATGGGAACATATTGTTTGTACACTCCCTCCGGTAAAATCATATTTAGAGTTAGGGTGACAAAATACTCTCAAATTTTATGTATGGTCAGATCTGTGTATTTAGTACTAAACTAGATTGCAAAACGTAAGACCTGAAATGATCCTCGGAAGTAGCTCTTTTGCCCAAGTACTAGTGTATAATGTGCGGGAGCATCCTATACGCGCTAAAAAATTAATTGAATGCCTCATTTTCTCTTTTACGTCTCCAAATTGCTTCCAGGTGCCTCATCTACTGCCCCAACACTGCAAGGTTAGAAGAAACTCGACCACAGATTCATGGCTTTTCCTCATTCTATTTATTAGTTTATTATGGGTGTGTTCCTTGATGTAGAAAGGCTTTGCTCTGCTGGTTATTTTTGAACTGCAGGATCAAGAGCTGCATCTGCAATGTTCACATTCAAAACCCTAGATATAACTGCAGTCCAGTTGTCCAATTACCACTCTAACTTTATAGCTCCCTGAGACTCTCACACTCTCTCTAAAACCCTCGGCGCCTAAGCTTCTCCCGATAAAACTCATCTAAACCCCTCTCTTTCTCTCTCTCTCTCTCTCTCTCTCTCT